ACACACACACACACACACACACACACACACACACACAGGCCGGGGCAGGAAGTATCTCGAAGCAGTAACTCAGTCTGAGTAACTCTTGTGGTTTTTAAACTGGTTTACCATTTCAGTGGCGTCACTGCAAAGACTCAACGGCGTGCTGTGGGATAAACATCTCTGTTGACATCGCGAGCATTAAGTACTGAGAGTGAAAAATGAAAAGGTGAAAGGGCCGGCTGGTGCAGCGGTTAGTGTAATGACAACGTGCAGGACGGGCTCTCGGCCCACTGGTACACAGAGGCACATGGAGATGGTTTTCTGTGCCGGGCAGAGAGTAAATAAGGTGGAAAATCTACAACAGTACAACAAGTAGTGATTTCTAACTGTGACACAAATGTTCAACAGGTGCAGATTTGGCATAAAAAATAACCGGATGGCCATTAGCTCCACCATATAACCCGTGAATCGCTGTGTTTCGACATTAAGAGCTTTCTTCCACTTCACGGCCTTTAACGCAACATGAATAATCGCTCTCTTCATTCCTCTGTATCTCCGCACAGGGAATCTGTGTGGTCCATAATGAGCGCAGTAAACATCTGCTACTCCCGTATTAGAGACCATTTTCCCTGCATCTCATCCTGTAATATGGAGAAATTAGAGTGCAGGGACTCATTCTGCGTGTTTATACACACACACACACACACACACACACACACACACACAGTGAGAGAGCAGACATAACATCAGGAGTCCAAGTGTTTTTATACTACCTAACTGACGCTCTAACATACCATCTCAACACCACAATTTTCCATCCACAGCAGCAAAACACTACCGGGTGTCCTCAGTCCTTTTTTCTTCCCCCCCCAACCCCCCTCCACCCCTTACGAAGTGCGAGCGTACTAGGGCCCCGTTCCAAAAAAGCAGATTTACTGATTTATTTGGAAATCCTCATGAAGTTAAACCCAAGAAGCCCCTTAACAAATAAATCTTCAGAACTTGAACTGATTTGACCCTTTTCCAAGTTTTAAAGCAGAGAACTCAGATAACCTGCGTTTCTTCTGGTAACAGATATCTGCAGCATTCGTTCAGCTGGAGCAACATGCATCTGTTTATTTAGCATGGCAGGAATTTCCCTGGAAGCAGCAGCACAACACAACAAAGGCTGTTATGCAAGGGCCTGTGGATGCAACATATGTGGAGAAATAGTGCCATCTAGTGGCATGACTCTGAAACACAGATGAAAAGAAACAAAACAAGCCACCGAACCTTGGAGTTGCATGAATATGTTTTATTATAGGAAACACTTAATATGTGATAAATGTCACACCTTGTGCCAGAACAGACAGAACTCGTCACGCAGCCTGGTGGACAAAATGAAGAAGGCAGAATACATCAGCTTCCATGTTGGTTCCTCCTTATACACATGTGCAGCTGTAGCAAACATCTGGATGAATGTCCAGCAGAGCTCCGCCTCCCTGCGAGCGTCACATCACTGTCTTTTCTGTTCTCACGTTGACGGTTAAACCGAACGACCTTTGACTTTCAGGAAGCCTCGTCCTCACTTGCTCATCTCCTGCTGCACCTCTTTGAGGATCTGCTCCTCCAGCTGCGACGTGTCGTACTCCTTCAGCATGTCGTACTCCCGCCAGGGCTCCGCCCACTTCTGCACGAACTCCATCTGATGCGGGGTCATGCACGCGTCGAAGCGGATGCCCTGGATGTTGAACTTCGGCCGTTCCCAGTGTTTCGACCATGGTTTTGGGCGCATCCTCACTTTGAGCTGGTGAGTGGACAAAGAGGAATACTTGATTATTTTACATCACAACATGTTTGATTTTTATTATAGCTGCTTTCAAACGTGCACTGAACTCTGCAGATCCGTTAGACAGTCTCTGGATTTCTAATGTGACAGACTCAAAACTGAAAAAGAAAAGAAATATCTCCAGATCTCCATACACGTGGTTCCTCTACTTTGAATCCTTAAAAGAATCTGCAGCTGTTCTGAAGTGATGCGAGACTTTTCAGATTGAAGAAAATCACATTTAAAGCAGCTCTATCAGTTTTTTTCTAGCATAGACCTCAGGGTTGATCTCTGTCTCACCTTGTTGACAGGCACTTCTCCAGTTAGGGAGAAGGGCACGGGCTTCATGTCCGGGTCCACGGTGCTGTACTCAGTCAGAGCATCTCTCAGATACATCAGGTTGTCGTCCAGCCTTTTCTCCAGCTTCAGCACGTCGATTTTCTGGATGCGAGGACTGTACAGCTCGTAGCAAATCTCCACACCTGAGCCACACACACAGAAATCCATGATTCAAACAGGTGTTTCACCTTAAGCTGCAAACAAACTCCAATGAAGTTGAATCATTAGTCAACATTTGCAGTTTCCATTAATAAGTTGTATTATATCTGTCTTTCACGTTGTTATCCATCAGTCTTTCCTGGAGCTGCAGCCAAACAACTTCTGCATTGTTGTTTAAAGTTCTTGAAAAGCATTTTCAAGCCTCACCTTGGTTATCAATGATGTTCCTCAGGATAAACGTGGCTCCCAGGCCTTTCCCACCTCTCTGGATACAGATTCCAACAAAGCGGTTTGTTTTCCCACTGGCATGAGGGTCGGCCATGGTCACCGCCAGGATACTCCCTTAAGAAAACAGTCAAGAATAAGTTACGAGAAGTTAACCCACTCGAGTGTCAGCCGTAAACTCAACCGAACATAATGGTGCGCGTCGTGTCCAACTACAGCTGTGTTGCTAGGATATTAAGGCGGGATGAGCTTCCTGTCTTATTATGGATTCATGGTTTAAGTCGCCTACGAAGGACGTGATCTTGGTGGACCAGGTCGACCGAGTCCTTCGAAGGAAAGCACCTGAATTGAGACACATCTACATAATGATTTGCAGGAATTAAATCCAGGGGAGGTCAAAGCGTCTCCCGGCTCATCTCGACTCCCTCAGTTTGCGGAGGACATGCACCTGCAGCGCTTCAGTTCCTCACCCGCGTAGAACTCTGGGATGTTGAGCACCTTCCTCCTGCGGATCATGTCTTTTCTCTCCATGGAGAACTTCAGAGGCTCAGTCCTCTGTCGCGGGGGGACGAACTCAGGGCTGAGGAACCTGCGGAGGACAGAACAGATGTGAAAGCACCACGGCACACAGCCTGGACGTGTGTGGACGTCAAGAGACCGGTGGACATCTTACTTCCGCAGAGAGGACACGGACTGAGTTTTGTCTATGATGACGGGTCTGGGTGGAGGAGTGAACTTGGGGGGGTCGTTGCTCCCACGACGCACGGACGTGGACACGAACCCTGGACACAACAACACGTCACTTTATAAACATCACCCACATGTTAGCTCGGCTCACCATTAGCCCGAGAGATGCTGTTAGCTCGTGTAGCCTAGCCTGCGTTCAGTCCTGCGCCATTTACGCGACCTGCCCGTAAACTGTGAAGAATATGAGTTCGCGAACGTGAGTCCGCTTTCACTCACGTTCATTCTTGAGCTGGAGGTTCCGCAACAACCTCAGAGAGCAGATAAACCTGTCGAGCCCTTTGCTGCAGGCGGCCATGTTTGACCTTCCGCTGTCACGTGGGAGCTCGTACGGAAGCCGTGCGGGACAGACAGACGCGAAAACGCGATTGTGTCCGAGCTGTAATGGAGCAGGTGGTCCACAAGATGGCGCAAATGTTCCATCGGTCACACGCGCACAGGGTTTTAAACGGTCATAATAACCCCCCCCCCCACCAAAATATTAAACTCAATCAAAATGTTAAACATAGTATTATATCTATATCTATCTAATAATTATGCAGCAGCGTTTTATTATTATTATTATTATCATTTATTAATAATACAAATCTACTACAAT